ACACTAATCCATGAGCTTCTTTGAGCCATGAGCACTGCAGTACTACTTTTATAGAATACAACATCCAAGTTCATTTTTTTGTGTGTTTTGAAATGACATTACAAAAACGGAAAACTTGTAATAGCTTGGTTTCAGAACTACAGAATTACTTCCAACTTCACTTCCTGTTAGTAAAAGGTTTGCAAATGATCTCTTTTTTTTAGGTCAGTCACAAAAGCACTTTCACTGAACATCATCCCACCTTGGAGGAGATGCAGGTATATCTTGGGGGAAGGGAAGTGTGTCTCCAGAGCTGAACTCATCATTGGAAAGCACAGAAGCAGATAAGCAAGATAAAGAACATACTGGATTCTGTTTTTATTCATGTGTTCAGTCGTAATAGAAAGAGAATAGATAATCAAATTAAAAAATACCAGCCTGCTGATTTTTTATTAATTTTATATCTAACAAATGAATTCAGATAACAGCAGATAGAAACATTTTTAAAGCAAAGTAATAGACATTTCTGAAAAGCATTTAAATAGCTCTCATATTTGTACGTTTTGAGTCCTTCAAAATATTTGCTATGTAAAAGGATAGAGCAAAATATATTGTATATTAAAAAAAGCAATTTCATTTTCAGTTCAAGTAGGATCAATGTCATCTGATTCTTCTCTGCATGAAAAATTAATCTCCTGTCTGATGTGTTCTCTAATTTATTGGAACATGTTAATGGATCTACTGTCTTCAAACAATGTTGTCTAAACCTATTTGTTCATTTATATTCCATCACTAAGGAATAAAAACATTATTTTCTTGACTCTCAGTAGATACCTAGTGCTCATTTAACTAACTGTTTAGTGCCAGAAAATTCTTAATAATTACTTTGTAAGATCAGTTCCTTAAATCTGAACTCATGTATAGTTCTATAAGGAACTTCTAGCACACAATTGGATCCTTTACCTGATTTTTTTCATTTAAAACACAATTTACATCTGGTATTCTTTTAGTAATATCAATCTATATATCATTCACAGGGCTAATACATTATTAGATGTGCTATCAAAACATTACAAATGAAATTAAGCAGATTGCTCTGAATGTGATGCCTCCTATTTATTTCCACGAAAACTACAACAGATACAAAGAGCAAAATAACACTCTTTGATAGAGCAAATTCTCAGCTACAAAACCATAGAACACACAACCCACTGCCTCACTCACATGTACTCATATCCACTGTTTGGTCTTTGTAAATGTTCATCAATGAATGTCATTGGGTGCTAATTTTTTCAACACGGAGGAATTCAGTGCCACACCTTGACTTCATACGCACTTCTATGTCAGACCATTGTGTCAGAGTGCCCCTCTGCTGCTGTCTGTCACATGGCAACAAAACACAATGGAATATTGGTGGGAAGGTTTAACCACTAGTACCACACCACCATGCCTCTGACATATTGGGCCAGCAGAATAACACAGCAGATCTTACATTCAGAGCAGCCCTCATACTTTCAGACTGCCCTAAGTACTATAATAGCTGCCATACCTGTTTAGAGAGAAGCTTAAGTACATTAACATCTCTCTGCACTAACGATAGAAGAGTCTGAGGCATGTTCTATGGATGTGGAAGTCATACATTCTTTCTCTCCCACACCTTCCTTACCTCTCTCTGCTCCCAACACTGGAGGCACTGGGTGAACGTATTGGAGGATGTATGTTTGTTACACTGACACCTCCTAGGATAGAAGAATCAGATTAGAATGTAACGTACATCTATGCCAAGTCTGATCCATTATTTGGAGAAGTACGTAGGTCTTTCGTCAAATTTCTCTTGCCTTGTTATTTACTTAATTGGTATCTCATGTAGTACAAAATCATGAGAGAACAAGAAAAGAATAACAGAGTAAAGGAAAGAACTATTTTTAGAACCCCACTGCATTTAAGCAGGCTGATGATTTGGTACCTTTGCCTGGTTGATGCCTGATCACTGCAGTTTGTTTTGTCTTACCTTATTAAAGTCTATTTCTAGCTTCTAATTGTGTGATTTAATATAAAACTTCAAGCCATATTAGCTGGTCAGTAAGACGAGGTCTCAAGACAGGGTGCAGATATGAGAGAGATCCCCACAAAGCTTCTGGGGGTCAGAGAGCAAAAGACTTGTGAAGGGTAATTTTCCTGAGAAAAAGTATCAGGCTGTTTGCACTGTCTCAATTTATGAGAGCATCTGTACACATCGTCCTCCTTTCTGAGCTAATCTGTCCAAGTGTATGAACATCAAGTAAGAACATACTGGGAATTCATGCTCACAGAGCCTCATTACAGGCCAAATCAGGAAATGGCCCATAGGGTAAGAGTAAGGAGCAGCCACTAATTCCACCAGGCATGGTGTCAGGAATCCCCTGGATTCTTCAATTCTACCAGATTTAGCTATCCGTACCAATAACCTTTCTAGTCAACTTCTGTCAGAACTACATTACTCTGCTAGTGAAAAAGATTTTCTAATGTTCAGATTGAGCTTTGGAAGTGACCAGTTGCAGCCACTGTCTCCTGTTACATCCTATCTTGCTTTATCAAATACTTGTCTCTTACTAAAGCTTCTAGGATGTTATCTGGTACACCTGAACATCACAGGTTTTCCACAGATACACTTGCATTTGCAGTTTTCCTGTATCTACTATGTATCTACTCCGTGTTTTAAGGTCTGCCAACTTAACTTTGTTCACAATGCTAAAATATTTCTACCTCTTTGCCTTTATTTTAGTATTTCTTATTGTTGATATAAAATAGAAGCAACTCATTCTGATATCCATGTTAACACTGCCATGTTACATTCTACCATTACACTACTTAAACAGAAAACTGTATCACAGTCCAATTACCTGAAATGCCTGGTGATGGTACTGACGAATTTGGTGACTGCACAGTTCTGTTTGAAGGGGGTTTGGGGTGGTTCTGCTCTGCAGTGACATCATCCTTCCTCGCAACAGTATCCAGTGTGATGTTTCCTGAACAATCAATCTACAAGATGGTTAACAGAGGAAAAGCGGTTAAAAGTTGGGGGAAAACAACAAAACAAAAAATACAATGCCTCTGCCATACTTTTGTTTTGGAGATGAAGATCAAAATGAAGACCATCTAACTTCAGCCAACCAAAAAGTAAACGGGTTACTTCGAAACAGGTCATTTGGTTTTCTCTAAAGAGAGAAATGGCCAAACCCAGACAGTGTTCCGTATCATTAGTTTATGCTGAAGTGATTCTAGAAGTGCCATTTTTTCCCCATCTATTGAGGTAGCTTACATCAGACACATAGCTTTCACACACTGAAGAGAATATGAACTTTTATCTCTTATCCCTCTTTCAACATGTTTACATTATATAATCTAAAAACAATAAGCAATACACAAACTCTCCACTAAACCATTAACTTTGAATGGAACTGGAAGAACTTCAAAAGACACTTAATTCCATCTGCCTCACACATCTTCCTGGTAGGAGGCACACATATTCACTCAAAACACAGACAGCAAGTCAACATTTGTTCTTTTTATTCATTGTCCAGGACAGGCAGCAGAACTTTCTTATAAGAACTGCAAATTTATCAGTGTAGCTTTCTGTACAAACTATATATCGTGATTTGGTAAAGAGAAATACCATTTTGAGATGTTAGTTTGCTGTTGGATTTGTTTTGTTTAATAATACATGAGATCATGTTTGATCAGAAAACAGGTCACTTTGGTATCAGTTTTCTCAACTATCCAGACATGTAACAAATCTACAGGTAGCAATTCCATTGGCCACTGAAATTGCTATTTATATGCTACACATCTCAGCACTGGATGCAGAAGTCCCTGCTAGGTCAGCATACACACAGTGATTTTGGCAACACATCTTCATAACATAAACTTTACCACATACAAGTAGAAGAGTTCATGACAATAGCGTGCACAAAAATCAGTGTGCTGAAATGTCTCAGATTCCGTAGTTTTGATTGTGTTGTGCACTCTACCTTTTTATTCTCACAGATACTGTAATATCAATGTATTCTTATTTTTAAAAAATACATTTTTATCTAAGAGTTTATTGGAGACATCAAAAGACAGGAGGGAGAAATGGTAACAGCAAGTTATGACTAGGAAACTTTGACATTTCAGGTCTCTGTAAGCGCAGACCACAAATATAGGCTCAGCAGTTGTTTGAAAGAAGAAAATCAACCAAACAAAGCTCAACATCTCTAATATAGAACTCTGACAAATAAGGACCAATCAGAAGAAATTGAAGAACTTACAATACTTCCCCAACGCCTGCTCACAGGCATGTTAGAGGAAGTATGAAGGAAAGAAGTACCAAAAGGAAGAACTATAAGGAAAATTTGACTCCACTATATCAACAATAACCACCTAAGACAGCACTTTCAATGAATTCATTGAGCACTGGATGGTGGTAAAGAGTGCAACATGTAGCAAGCACATAAACAAGCCCAATTGTGTTACAACCTGGAATGTTATTTTTCTTAGCACTCTTAATGGCTGTTTCCCAGAACAGTTCTGAATACTGCCAAAAATATGTAGGCAATCCTGCATCGCTTTCTGGAATTATCTCATTTTGATAACCAGCAGAAGAATTTCGAAACAAAAAGGATTTCTACTTTTCAAAACCATTAAAGCATTCAAAATAGAATCTGTAGAAGATTGGTATGGATTGTACACTTACATCAGGAAGAGATGGTAGATTGTAGGAACTACCCACTGGAGAACTCAAATCTATCACAGGAGGACCGTATGTCTTCCCATCACATCCTGCAGCACTAGTAACTGTGGGGCTGGATGGAGTAGAACTTATGCTGCTTGCTGTTGAAATGGCAGTTGAACTTTGTCCATTACCAACCTGCCACTAAGAAGATAAGATGATAATCCACAAGTCAGTACTTTTCCCTCTAGAGAACACACACACTACATATCCTTGCTCTAACTCATCAGCTAAATAAGCAATCTAGTACAGTAAGTTGAATTCAAATTTAAAATCCCAATTTACTCAGAAGTTACTGAATGTTAACAACTAATATTAAAAGATGAGGAAAGATGACAAGTATTTTAAAACTGAAAAGAAGAAATGAATGTGAATTCCTAGATTCAAAGATGTTGAGTATCTATTAATATTTCATGCTGCCCTGACAGCGTTGTAGGAGGAATGTAATGATTTTAGTGAAATTAAAGCATTACAGATAATATGATGAATATACAGCTAATCCAGTAATTTTATTAAATATCTACATTGTACTTGGATGCAATCAATAATTTAATGCTTTCTTTAACAACGTAAGGTGATTAAGAATTTGAAATGCTGAATAGATTTCCACCTACCTATACATTTAACACCAAGATATAAAGTGTACAGTCAAGTCAAATTAAATTTAATTCTCACTTAGACATATGCAGTTCTCAAGAAGTGAAATGGAATTTCATGGCAACTCTAGGCAAAATTTGATTCTGCTCAATTCTTTTTGTCAGTCATTCTATTCCCTGGTTTCTGCTTTAGAAAGATGCTACTAGATAATGAAAATACTTGAAAGAAAGGTTTGCAGACAGGTCAATCTTCTTTTGAAATGCCCAAGTGCAACTGATACAATTCTTGCTACAGATTCTCTTCGATATCATGCAGCCTCCTTCAATTCAGTTGAAATTAGTTCTCTGATTTCATAAGCACTGCAGACATTAACAGTACTATTCCACCCTTCAGGTGGCAGAAAAGATTCATTTGATTCTACCCTGCTTGTCTCTGAAGATATGATCCCCTCCTTCCTTTAAAATACCTAAGAACACATGTTAATGTACTTTTTAATAAGGATTTGGCTTCCTGATAGACAGAAAGCTTCTGAAGTATTTGCTCCTGCCCCAGTTCAACTGCTGATCAGGTGGGCATCAACCATTTTTACTCAGCAAAGGTCACCTGAGTGCGGGGCTTTTTTTTTTTTTTTTTTTTAAATCAGTAAGATTTGGCATACTCTGGAGATGGTAGCAGCTACAACTTTTCAGTCAAGCTTTTACCTGGTAGTAAAGTCACTAACATTAAGATGAACAAGGGGATTTGCCATTCTGCTTATTCACTGTGGTGTGTAGACTACATTCTCACTTACATAAGTGGCCAGAAAGCACACTAATAGCAAACATAATGAAACACCTATGTATCACACACAATGGCTCACTTCCGTAACAGTTCGGCTCCTTAGAACTGTCAGAATGAAAGAAACTTGACAGTTCTCATTAAGAAAACTGTGGATATCTTGTCACAGAGAAGAAAGCATTCTTTGTTCCAATTGAAAAGCACACATGAAACAAAACATAAAAGATGATATAAAGCACATTTGATGTTTTATTTTTACACAGTAAGTGAAATGGGAAAGAAACTCTACCTGTTTTATAGCTTGCTGTGCCAAGAATGCCATCTGTAACGGGTTGAGCTTTATTGCTTGCCTTGGTAGGTTCTGATTTTGGGGAAATCTCATCTGTTGCGCAGGAGGAGCTGCGCCATTGGACTTGGGGCTATGATTCTGAAAATGAATCAAACGTGGAGGTGCCTGCATGAAGAAAAAACAGTTCTGTAAGTTAGATGATACTGATTCAATGTTCCAGATTTTTTTTTTACTGCACTTCACTCTTATATTTAATGCAAACAAAGAATATCACCTAGTTTATCCGAAAATTAATGTTAAAAACAAAACCTAGCACGTGGTTTTGAATTACTCTGATATAACAAGTGCAGATGCATTGCAACAGCCAGTGAGAGTATTTCAAATTTGGAAGTTATATAGGACAATCACAGTTTCATGCAAAAAAAATAATGACAGATTCATTTTATAAGCATTTGAAAAAAATTCAATATATATAGCTCACTACTGTATATTGTCACATAGCATATGATTTATTTTTTTCAACTATAATAGGCTGAGAATTACCATACATTTTGCCAGTCAAGTATAGAATGTCCATTCAATTCTCAGTAAAGAAAATGTTCTCTAACCCTTCTATATAACCACCAGCTAAAGATGAAAATCTGAAATTCTGTATTTAAATATCATTTTTTTTCTTTTTCTTCTCTTTCTTCACTTTCTCCCTCATCAGTGAAAGGCTGCATAAGGATTCAACTCTAATTAAGCTTTGGCCACACAAATTTTCTTCCTACAATGGCAAACAGCATCTCCATACTCCTTCCATGTCATCCAACCTCTGACACCTTCTTTTTCCTCCTAAGTTCTAAAAGATGATCCCTGCACAGCCCAGCCAATCTTCTGCTCCATTTGCACAACTTCCAGGATTTTGGAATTGACTGTTCCTGTAATCTTAAGAGGTGGCACTTAAAAGTGACAATTTCTTTGGAAATTGTCATAGCTTACCTGATGAGAAGCAGGAGGCTGCTGCACGCTTCCTGGCATTCTTGGATTTGGTAAACCTACTGGACCTGCTCTGCGCTGAGCTTGCTGTCTCTGAGCCATGACTTGTTGCTGCATGTGCTGGAGTCGGAGCTGAGCCAAGTTTATTTGCATTGGGAACTTAGATAGCTGATTTGAAGATAAGCTGCCTGGTGGCTGCAAATTTGTTTCTGTCACAGGGTTCTTGGGCATGTGTGGTGGGGTTTCTTTATCTTCGATTACCAGAGAACCTGGTTTAAAAAACATAAATTAAATGAATACTAAAATATTGCAGCTAGCAGAAATGCTATTTTTAGATTTTTAGATTTTTGATACCATGAGGCCAGCATTAATTATTATAATGCAAAGGATGGGTAAACATGAGACAAAGGACTCACATCATACTGTTTCCCTGCAAAAACATGGCTACATTTTATAATGCAAAAAAAGGAGATACTAGCAAACTGTCTTGTGCTATAGGATCCTGTAAGAGGTGAATTCTAGACAGCTGCCCTGGCCTCTCCAAAAGAGCAAGGAAACGAAGTTTCATTCATAGAGATGAGAGCGTAGTGATCCAATCATTTGATTAAAAAAAAATCGTAAGTATTTTCATTTTTAAGTATTATAATACTTAAAGATTTTGTGGATTTTTTTTTTCTTTCTTGCCTCTGAATCACCACAATGGAATATGCAAATAATACACAAACCACCAATTTTAGGATGTAATGGCACCTCCAGGAGATGTTTCCTCTCTGTTGATTTAGAAGGAAATGTAACTAGACAGGAAACTTCTAGACATTAATGCTGGCTGAAAGGTTTTATCCAAATTGATCCACAGGGCAATTGTACAAAGCTCTTGGGTAAGATGCTGGCTACCACAACCAAGAAAGATGAATTTCAACAAGAATCGAGTTTGCTTTACACTCAAGGGAAGAGTATGCTGTTTATACAGGGGAAAAAAAAAACAACTGAAAGTTACTTAGTTTCAAAAACTGATATTGTTAAGCTTGCTAAGTCCTGTTGGTGAATAGTCCTGTGGTTTGTTTAGAAAACAGGAAGAATCTATGTTCTTGTACAGAGCAGATAAAGGAAGTTTCGTAAAGTCTTTGTATCAAGTAGATTACGGAAGTTCTGCTTTAAATCAGCTAATTTTGTGAAAGCAAGTATTGTGCAATGAAGGTGAGAAGCTAAGTGAGCATGTGTGAAGATTGGATTCAAGCAGTGAACACAGTGAGGAAGGGTCCTGGGACCAACACCACAAAAAGACTGAGGAAGGCTGAACCTAAAATGAACGATTTAGGGAGTACTGGATACACGTGTACTGCCCAGGAAAACCTTTGTGTATGTAACACATGTAATGTATATTAGCTGAAGATCTTTTGTTCAAGGCAAGCACAATTAAGTGGAAGGGTCCCCTTCTGCATCCAGTGCAGAGAATAAAAAATGGCTGCTTTCTAACATTCCAACTTGAGAGTTTCATCAGCTGACAGCACATTCTGACAAAAGGCAGGAAAGGCTCAATAGGTATCTCCCACAGAATTCTACACATAACAGAAAAAACCAGCCATTAAGATAGCAGTAGAGAAAGAAATGGCAGACAACAGGAGTAAAAAAAATAAAATCCTAGGAAGATCTTTGAGCTTCAATTCCTTTTCCCAATCTGATGAGTTCCTAGGATGCTTATTTCCATTAAACACAAAAGCTTTCAAGTAATCGCATATATGGACTACCTGCAAAGCTTCCAGACTCCCTAGCAGTTTATGGGTTATGAAACAAAAATAAAAATACTAATTTGGAGATCAGAAAAAAACTGCCCAGAAGGTATTAAAGTATAGATGCTAAACTTTTACACTGCAATTCTGATAAAAACATGCTTTCTTCTTAAGTGCATCCCTAACTTCAGGAAAGAATATCTTAAAAATAGACAACTTGCCAAAAGTATTGTCCTCTTCCCTGTTCTATTTTTCTGTTGCATTCATCCCTTCTCAAAGGCTTATTTCTTATAATGACAAGGAATATGAGTTTTTGAACACATTATGGTGCTGGTAAGGGTATCAGATTAGGAAGATTGGATTTAATTAAAGGAGTGTGCTGTAAGATGCAGGACGAGACTGACTTTGGGAACTCTTCCTTAGGTTGTGAAGTAAGGTCATATAATTTGTTTTTGGCTTCAGAACCTGGAAAGCATGTGCACTGTCCAGCAAACTGCAAGTCACTACTTTCATCACTGATGGAGTAAGGACCTCGAATATTATAAGCATCAGTATCTGGAGGGACCATATGTACTACCATGAAGATAAGGAAGGAAAATGAAGCTAAACTGAAGATGGATGGGCCCTATCAGCTCATCCCAGAAAAACCACATTTAGAGAGGAGGTAAGCACCTAACTGAGCATGACTAGGGTCAAAAGTTTAAGAGCAATGAAGACTGCCAGTCTTCCTCCCTCAATCCTCAGACAACCACCAAAAGGACCCCAAGGATGACTGTGAACTCTCTAAGGGGGAGGGTCTTATGTTAATAAGCTCCAAGAAAATCATAATGACTTTGAGAAAACATTTAGCATATGCATGAAATTCTGGGGATAAATACGAGTACGTACAAGCACAACCAATAAATGTAATCTGTACATAAGCCAAGGTGCACATATTGGTCAGAGCTATCCCCTACGTGCCCAGTGATGCAATAAAGAAATACCTGCTTGATACAACTCATGGGAAGGTTAACCTACCGATGTTCTCAGCATCATCATCATCATCATCACCACCACATATCACATTCAAGCAAGGGACGTTCGTTAATGTTTAATTGAAAGTATTCATAATACTTTTTCCACACAACACTTTAAATTCTTCTGCAGTTAAGTAAATTATTCTAAAAAACTAAAATAAAACCAAAGAACTGACAAAACTTTATCACACCTAGATTGAAAATATTTTGAGCCCAGAAACTAGGATCACAGTGAAACTGGATGGTATTGTTAGTCACTGGTGAAGCATCACACCTCGCTCGAAGAAGATAGCGTAGTCGATACGTGATCTAAAACAAGAACAAAACATAAGATTTTCCTCTTCAGTTAAAGCCATTAATATGAACTACTGAAAACAAGCAAACAAAAAATCTTCAACAGCCCCCCAGAGAACTGAGGTAAAAGAAAAGTTTGTCCAAACAAAAATGAAAAAGGATTAAAAAAACCCGAAGTAATCAATTATTGCATAAAGGCAAGTATTTTTTTCCCCTCCATAAATGCTTATCTTTCCACAAATTCAGTTGTTACATAACATTTACTTGCAGGCAAAGAATGGATTCATGTAACCACTGCTGCTGCTTCTCCTCCAAATCTAAACTAACCCATTCATTAAAAAAAAAAAAAAAAAAAGTATTCCATCCACTTGACGACAAGCATCACTAAAAGAGAATTTTCCTTAGTAGCAGATAGAAGAGCTTTTTAGAGAGCTTTGTCCATTACAGGCTTATCATACTTTCTTTCATATATTTCTTAGAAAATTCTCAGATATTTTCACATTCTTCAGACTTCTTGGTTCCAAAGGACTAAACTATCATTGGGATACACAGGCAGAATGCTGGAACAAATCTGAGTTTATCTAGCTGCTAGAAGATTTTTTTTTTGCAGATATTTCCTAAAAATATGTAACACAAATGTTAATTTAGAGTAACACACAGCAGATACAGAAAAAGCTTATCAAGTTCCACACTTCTTTGGTCAAAATTTCATTTTCCTTTCAAGTATTTTTCTTACATAATAATTTCCTAGAAAAGTCCAAGAGATATATTTGGTCATATTGCCTAAAAGGACACCAATTATCTTTTACATATGAATTATCTTTTACATATGAATTTTATATGAATTTCCACTTTGCTCCTACATTTTGTTTCATTTAGGCAGGTCGATTTTAGACCAGATATAAAACATTTAGTGAGACTTACATGTCTTTTTGTATGTTTGTTTTTAAATGACTATGGAAAATTTAAAGTGCACTACTACTTCGAATATAGACCTCCTAGTACTTCTGTACACTGCCAGAAACAATTATAATACATTTGAAAATTTCTACTCTCTTCACTCATCACAAATACTATTTGCAGAAAAATTCTGTCATAGCTTATTCCATATATTCTTTCTGTGTGCAAACACATATATTACAAATAAACTCAGAATTAGGTTATCTCCTATCAGTAATGACAGTACACAAAGTGTTTTGTTTATGATAGAGGACTAGGCAAGAAAATTGATGGTTTAGTGAACTGTTTAGGTGTGTTCTTCCCTTGAAGTACAGGTATTACCTCCAAACTATAATGCTGAATTTAAATCTGCTGGATATTCCTCCCTCCTAGTTTCATGTGGTTGGATATCCCTCAGTAGAGGCCTTGTATGGTCCTCTATGCCTAACTGTTCAGGAACAAATCTACAGATGTCCATGGACATAGCTCTTCAGACCCCAAATAACTCTGACCTTCAGCAAAAATCTGAAGCTTAAGTTTCATCTGTTCCTTTGAAAATTCTCTCTCATTTGCAGAGGCTTTATGGGCTATGATGGTCTTTTTCTTAGGATTTATAACATTTACAATATTAAGACACCTGCAACATAAAATGCTTTCTCACTCATATAGCAGAAGTCTACGTGGCAACACTAGGCAATTCTAAACAACATGGCTTAGTCTGATGCCCTTTTTCTTCATTCAGCTAGAAAAAGTTACTTGCTAAGGCTGTATAAGACAGGCTCAGTGAATTTAACCACTTGAAATAGGTTGAGAAAACATCCTGCAGCATTTTAATGGGTATCAAGCAAACAAACAAACTCATACACACAAACCAACAGATTCTCAACTAGGCAATAAGGCAATAAAGACAAAAAGAAAACTTCTGTTCCAATTATAGGAAATTGGAAGAAGATGATCATCTCTCCTCAACATTACCACAGATTTTCTTCATCTGGAAAGTACAATCTAGAAATCCCTGGATAAATGATTGATAGTCATCTTTTTTCTTTGTTTTTAATTTCAAGGGTATTCTTCTCTTCTCTTGGTTGGTTGTTGCTGTTTTTCAGGATTCTTCTTCATCACAAGCAGTCAATGAGATCACACACACACGTGCGTCCTTACAACACGAAATACTTAATTCCATAGCGGTTTGCATAAAAAAGCACAAGACTCATCTTCACTTTTATCAGCTTAACAAATCAATTTTTGAAGACTTTTCACAGAAGATGACTCTCACAGAACAAAGCAATACACTATATTAAGTGCTGGATATCAGGCTTTAAGGTATATAAATACCTTCTTTATCTAAACTCAGAAGCCGTGAAACATATTAATAAGAACCTCATTAATAATTTAGGACATACAGTAATTTTGCCCAGTCTTTCATGGCTACGAGGTTTTCACTTCAGAAAAAAGGAGTTAATGCAACTTCTGAATATCTACAACAATTCTATGGTAGTACAACAGGAGAGAATCATGACGAGTTTAGCTAAATTATAATAAATACTCCACATTTATGTTTTTGAGAAAAAAAACAAGAAAAACTGACATACAAGTATTCCAAGTAGTATGAAGTCATTACAATGCCTAATCCCTCAGTGTTAAAGACAAATGCGTGCACGCGTATGACCTAACTATAATAATTAATGAAAAGAAGAAATTTATCTTCCTCATCTTACCAAGCGTTTACTGTAGAGTAGAGCTGTGCTGCTTCCACTGGAAACTGCCCATTTGGAAAAATTCATGGCATGTTCCAGCTGTTTAGAGAGACCTGCCACTTCCAGTTGTTGTTGCATAAGTTTCATTCGATGCTCTTTTGCCAGAGTCTGTAAGCAGAAAATTAGTTATAGTCAAAGCATTCAACTTACAGCTGAGACACATTAACTTTCATGTTTGTGACTCAACGATCGAGAGATTTCTCTTATCTCTTCTAAAAAATGCTCCCCTACACCATGACTATAGCTATCAGTCAAAAAAGTCACAATATTTATTCAAAATATCAAGGTTTTGCACGTAGATCTTCATTTTTTCTTATGACACATTTTCATATATGCATGCCTATATATGTACACGCACAGTTTTTTTAAGCACTCATTTTCTAGGCATCAATTTTAAACAATCTCCTTTGATTTTATATTAGATTGCAGAATTTATAGACTTCTGATGGAAAGACTTTTCATGCATGGTGCACAGGATAAGGACCTACAAAAGCGTGGAGAAATTAACTAAGTTCAGAGGCAACCTTGATTATTAATATATATAAAATAAATAAAAGAGACACGATTTACAAAGAAACAAAGGAACACGAATAAATAAGTAAACAAATACACTTGCTCAAATGGCTTGTGTGGGACTTCTCCCTGCTTTGGAACTGAAATAGGACATGTACAAACAGCTAATGTTAGAAATTGATTTCGACCATCACCAGAAAAAAAAAAAAAGAAAACTGGCTTTTTTTCCTTTGATAGAAATGAAATTACCTCTAACTGATGCAGCAGAGCTTTTCCCTTTTT